TAGAAGCAATTGCTTCTCCTTCACTAGCACTTCGGACATTACCATTTCAGCAAATGCGTGGCTTTTTAAAGACACAACCGCTGGTTGGTGAGTATATACCTTAGGTTTTGCTGTGAATATCCAAACTGCCCACTACATCTTAGAAAGGCCATTTCTTCACCAACACAGGCCATGGCAGATCTTTGGGTTAGCTGGAGTCATTGACTTCCTGTGCCTTTGTCACGGGCATGCGCTTACAGACATTCCATCATTTACACTTCCATTCTGTGATGGCTTCTTCCGCCCCCACCCCCACCACCCTCAGGCTAAACCCACACTCTGAGACTAGGCTTACACTCATCTTCCTCCGACCTCAGCATCCCCAAATGCTAGCTTTACAGCTGTAGACCACACTGCTCAGGTTTTTTGGGGTTTTGTGGTTGTTGGTTTTTGTTTGGTTGGTTTTTTACTTATTCTTTACTTATTTTTATGTACCAAATATGTTACAATTTGTTTAAGACTTCTGGGATGCATACCTTAAGATCTTTATTCCAAAACTAGATTTTTTTTTACCTTATTTTAATACTTGTCTGCCCCTCAATGTACTTGAAATGTATGTGCATTGTGTGATATTGACATCTGTCTTTTCCCCCAGTGTCTCTAACTCCTTCCTGGGTTATCATCCACAAATGATGTATGTCTAAGTTCTTACTGTACTGTTTTCTAGTATAAAATGCAAGCTACCTTGTCCTCACTTTGTAAACTGTGTTTGCACATGAATTTCTGAGCCAGTTGCAGCTGCATTAATCTAGGTGGCACTGATGTCTACCTTCCTACAGAGCCTCTTGTGTAGCCATTGCCCCCAAATTGAAGCATCCCTTCCTCCAGAGAGGAAATTCAGGAGGCTCAGAATCCCACGTTCACAAGCCCCCAGGGTTATCTGAGCAATGATCAGTTGATGGGAAGAAGACTTGCTGAACCACACTGCCAACAGGTTGTTCAGGAAGCTTAAGGGATGCAGATTTCTTGAGTGGTCACCCATGCAGGGGTGGGCTTTCTGGTGAAGCAGGTACTTTTGAGTTACACTCTGGTGAGTGACCCCAATAGTGAAACTCACTGTTTCACTAGACTTGGTTGAGACTGTGTGCTGTCTTTGGTGCCCTATGTGGTGTTCATTCATCTCCCCAGGCAGTAAGTTATACAACAGAACCTGGCCTTCCTTCCATCTGAAGCCTTACTCTTCCTGGCAGCTACCAGGAAGTTCACACGGCTCCTTTAAACAGAATAAAGACCAGTTCCTGAGGACTGCTGCTAAGGCAGAGAGGTGAGTAGCTTTACTCCTTTTCTCCCTCTCCGCTGACTGACAGGAGTCAGGTTTTTACTATGCAGAACAAGCTAAGAAAGGGCTCAGTCTCTTGACACATTGATGTGGCCATCTACTACTTATTACCCACTCAAGACTTCCTTTAAGACTGAGTTCTATGTGTGAACTTGCATGGATGTGTGTCTGTGGTATGTGTGCTTGGTGCCTACAGAGACCGGGTGATGCATGGATCCCTTGAGACTGGAGTTCCAGGCAGCTGTGAGCTGTGAGTCACACTGTGAGTGCTGGCAACAGACTGCAGGTCCTCTTCAAGAACAGCAAGTGCTCTTAATCTGAGACACTTCAACCTTTCATAAACTGTTATTTTTAACTTTTAACCCATAGTCAATATTAAAACAATTAAAATGGGGGCTGGAGAGATGGCTCAGCGGTTAAGAGCACTGACTGCTCTTCCAGAGGTCCTGAGTTCAAATCCCAGCAACCACATGGTGGCTCACAACCACCCATAATGAGATTGGATGCCCTCTTCTGGTGTGTCTGAAGACAGCTACAGTGTACTCATATACTTAAAATAAATAAATAAATCTTTAAAAAAAAAAAAACAATTAAAATGTAGATTAAATAATCCACTTGAAACAAACTGACATATAGACCATCAATTTTTAATAGACAGAAATATAGGTTGTTTTGTTTACTCAAATATTTCATATTCTTCATTAAAATATAGTTTCTTTCATGTGGCTATTCCTTACCTGCAGCTCATTTCTGTGGCATATAGTTCATATTTCTATTGTGGATTAAATTTTAAATTTTCCACTGGCCAACGTTAGTAGAAAGTTACAGGTCCCCCATGAGGGAACTACTCAAAACTACCTATCAGTAATAGCTTTTCAATTGATCCTTTGGGATGTTGCCTCCATAATCACCCTGCCCTGAAATGTCTAGTGTCCTTTCTTGACATTTCCCAGGGTTAGGTGAGTCTCCGTAGCATTGTCGGGACTGTAACTTGAGCCTGAATGTTTGTTGAAGGTTCTAGTAGAATTCGTTGACCATAGTAGAAAAGGCTTCCATGGGCTAAAGAAATGACTTGGGTTCAAGTCTCAGCAACCCCATGAAGATACAACCATTTGTAACTCCAGTTCCAGGGAATCTGATGTCCTCTTCTGGCCTCCAGTGGTATTGCATGCACATGGTATACAGACAAACAAGACAAAACACTCATACAATAAGAAATCCCAGTACTTGGAAGGCAGAGGCAGGTGGATCTCTGAGTTCAAGGCCAGCCTGGTCTACAGAGTGAGTTCCAGGACAGCAAGGGCTACACAGAGAAACCCTGTCTCGAAAAACCCAAAAAAAAAAAAAAAATCTTTTTTTCCTGTTTGTTCTTAGCCCGAGAGTAACTTAAACTATAGAACTGAAGAATAAAGAAAGAAAAAGTGGGAAGGGATGAGTACGGATGCTTCCAAGGAGCCCTCAGGGTTGCTAAGGCCAACTGCATTCACCACTGCCCCTAACTTTGCAGGTTTTGTTTGCATTCCTCTAGGACCTCAACCATGTACAGTGTAATTACTGAATAGTCAAGTATGTTGGGAGCAGTGCTGCTGCTGCTGAGAGAGACCTCTGTGATGACGACAGATGTAAAAACAGTATGGGGTGCAGAAGGAAACTCCACACAGCTTAGTAATAGATGAGCTTTCAGGAGAGCTCCAGATCAACACGGTATACGGAGTCAAGCAATTGTCTGAAGTTCTACTACAATTACAGAAGAAACACCACGCTAAAGAGTCACAAGTATATTTAGTTACACAAGAAAACAAGGATGTTATGTTTGCAGGTAGAAGAGCGAGCCTGAAAGATTTAGAAACAGCACTGGCTTAGTGCAATTTCTAAACAGACTCTCTAATGCACTGAAGGAGAAAAGGGGCAACCCCTGCACAGCTGCTTAAACTAGTGCTGGTGATAAGGACAACTTGGAAGACAAATGTTCAACTGTCTTTATTACAATACGAAAGTCAGAGACAGTAAGGATTGCAAAAATTAATTTGCACTGCAAACCTACAAGTTATCAAATGGAAAATTCACTTGGATGTCTAAAAATAGACCTTAATCCCATCTTGCAAACAAGCTCATCTATATAAACATATTACTACTGCGATGTTCTTTTCTATCTCATTCTAAAATCTCTCTTAAAAATTCTTGCAGAGGTTTTATGTATGGAAAGATGTATGCTTGTATACATGACTCTTCCTTCAAATCTCAGACGTCCAGAGACAGTCTATTTAAAAACCTCCAATTAAGGGCAAGATGACTCAGTGGGTAAAAGCACCTGCTTCCAAACTCAACAACCTGAGTTAGATTCCCAAGACTCCCATGGTAGAAGAAAACCTGATGTAGGTATCTGATCACACTGTGAACCCCAAGATTGTGTTGTTTACTGGAAAAACCTGTTTCTACTTGTGGTGAAGCTCAGCCTTACCACATCTTTAATCCCTCTGGTTGGAATACGGACATGCCCTCAGTACACATCTTTAATCCCAAACAAGGTGAGACTAGTTGGTAGAAGGAAGAAGGGGTGTCTGAAATAGATGTCTAATTGAAGAGCAAAGTTATGAATCAGAGAAAGATCTGACAGAATGAGTCAGAGATAGGGTATGCCTAACTCTCACAAGAACAGCACAGGAAAGAGAAATTATTAAAAGCAGAACAGGGAGAGAGTCACTGAATTCAGTGAAGGGGGGCTGAGTCAGAGCTGAGGGGTAGTGCAGGGTTGCTGAGTTGGTGGCAGCTCAGTTCAGGAAGTTCAGAGGCAGTTTTTACCTGGAGTTTTACAGAGACAGGTTGCAGAGAGAACAGGCTAAACAAAGGTGAAGACAGAATGAGCCAGGGAATGAGAAGGAGTCAGAAGATTAAAGCAGATTGTCAGAGTCTGTCTGAGGCCAAGCAGAGCAATTCAGTCAGAAGCTGAGAGAAGCAAGTTTGAATCTGTCACCTTAGAGAGGAGTCTGAGGTGGAACAGCTGAGTTTAACCAGCCAGCCAAGTTCAGAAAAAACTAGAAAGGGTGACTGATTCAGCAGTAGGCCTTCAAGATGACATTTACTTCAGACAAATAAAGTTACTTTTACAGAGAGCACGGAGACAAGCTCTGGGGCTTGCAGGCTACCAGCCTAGTTCCATCTTCAGTAAGAGACCCTCCCTCTCAAGGGAAAAAGGTAAAGCACAATACAGCAGGACACCCGGTATCACCCAGACAGACATATGCACCCACATATATATACAGTGCCCATACGTGTGCACACACACATCATGCTCACATTCACACCTCTGCAAATGCCCATGCACTCGGTGACGTAGTGCTTTTACTACCTAACTTGTCCATCCAGTGCCTTAAGTTTTTGAGGTCAGTTTCATTAAAGAGAAAAGGTTGGCATCCTGATGATTTAAGGAGTGTAACTCCTGGTGCTCACTAAGAGGCTAGCGATTTGTAGAGCACTGCTTTTCAGTTGCACAGACTACCTTATAATGATGACTTGAAATAGTCCAGTCTCGTGTCCCCTTGGTTAGTATGTAGGTAGTTTTGGTTTTTTAAAGGAAAGTGAGAGAGTGAAGGAAAAACAATTATTTAAAAAAAAAAACAAAACACCAGAAGGCTTGATTCTTGGTTCTCCAGGCAAAACAGACATGACAAAAGAACACAAATTATTTGTATTAAATTGTATTTTGAGGAAGATTCCAAGGTTTGACATAGGCACAGAGAAAAGAACAAACTAAAGCTAGTATAAGTAAGGTCAGTTACATACCGACCTCTGAATGTGTTAGAAAATAGACAGTAGTCACACTTTTTAAAAATATGACCGAGGAAAATGTTTTAATTCAAGTCTTCTCAATCACTTGAAATTCTTGTGAGCTAAACTCATACATTAAGGCAGATACTGATTTTTAAATACTCATTTAATTGATGAAATGTTTAAATTGCAATCAAAGGAGAAAGTTCTTGTTTAAAAACAAAAGAACACATTTTATTGCTACAAAGGGAACTGTACACAAAATCCTTTAAGCCATCTTAATGCTAACTGCTATTCAATGTAAAAAAAAATACTCAAATCAGAACAAAATACTTCTCCAATCAATCTAGAGTCAGTATTCAAAAACTGAATGCACACTAAAGACTCACGCCCAAGAGCAGCATTTAAGTTCAAATGATTACAGTGGGCAGAGGAGCGACACACAGCTAGAATCCTCAACACCAGTAAGGTAGTAGAAACTAAGCTTAAAAATCATACCAACAATTTATCATATCTAGGTTTGGTATCTAGAAAAACTAAACTGAAATCATCTTAACTTCATTTTATTAAACAAGTGCCAAACATTTAAAAATTATATAAAACAGACTTTAATATGTGGAATGCATGCAACATGGTGTCAACTCATATCAGAAGCTACTCAGCATCTTCCATTTCCTACGGTGAAGTGTGCGACTATATCTGACTGTGCTCACGCTGCTCAGTAGCACAGGCCTGGGCAGCAAAATCCTCCGTCCCCTCCTCCTCCTCCTCCTCCTCTTCCTCCTCCACCTCCTCCACCTCCTCTGCCTCCACCTCTGCCTCCCTTGCTTCTTCTGTTTCTCCCACTGGAGCAGCTTCCCCTGCTGCTGCTGTGTTCTCCTCTCCCTCCACATCCCCTTCTTCCTCCACAGATCCAGCTTCTCCCCCTTCCTCTCCTTCCTCTTCCTCCTCCTCTTCCTCCTCATCATCATCCTCTTCTTCGACGGGTTCATCAATCTTCTCTTCGTCCTCTTCATCTCCTTCTATCTGCTGATCCTGAGCATGGTCTTGAATTTCAAAAGGATTCTCTCCCTAAACAAGACAGATGGCTTTTACACACAACACATTTGTTTTTCTATGACCGATACTTGCTGTATCTTAGGGGGAAAAAAAGTATTTAAAGTTCATTTTACTTATGACAAATTTATTAAATATTTTAAGTATCTACTTCATTCCAAGTGAGTATATAACTTATTAGTTATTTTATATTCGTTAAATTAGAGCACTTTTTAAAAAGCCAAAGATTTTAACTGAATTTCTAAAATCCTATATAAAATACAAGCAAATATGTTTTTGATACAAGCAAAACATCTGATGCAGATGACCTACTTAATAATGCAACTACTCATTGTGCTTCTGGTCTGGGTCTCCTAAGAGCTCAATAAAAACCGAAAGTACCTTGCTTTAGCCACTAGACACTATGCATTGTACTTACACTTGCAAAAATTAGAAAAACCTATTTTTGGCAAACAAAGGTACAATTTTTTCCTCTTATTACTTTTATCTTGTATGTGTGTACATATGCACCATGCACATGCTTACATGTGGAGGTCAGACAACCATCAGCTATCTGTTTCTCCTTCCCAAACCCAAGGATTGAATTCTGGTCACTGGGGTTAGTGGCAAGTGCCTTTATCAGACTGAACCACATCAGCAGGCCTGTATTTTATCTTAGTAGTTACTTATCTGGATTAAGTCTCATATAAAATGGGCATGCTGGAAGACTATATTAAGATGGGAAATGAAGAGGCAGTGAAGCTTATTAAGATTCTATTAAGGCTGGTGCTACTTTAAGACGGCTCAGACAGAAACTTGTAGGATGAAGTGGAATCATAAATGCCTAGGTAGTGCAGTTTAATGATTCAGAATGGGCCCAGTGTTCAGTCTCCATACAGAAGAAAAGGGGAATAGACCCCAGTAAAGACGATTCTAATAAGAATTCACCGATAAGAAGACTCTGAAAGACGTAGGCCATCAGAACAGAATATGTACGTTATCATGGGGAGAAGGGAAGTGGTGGGGGCTCACTGCATACAATTAGAATGTGAGATATACAAATGTTTAATATCGTCCATAAATAAATCTTCAGCCCATATAGAAGAGTGGCCAAAGTAAAATATTTACATGAATGGATTTACATGAATGTCAGCACTGAGCTGACAACAAAGTCCCACAAGGCACAGCCTAAGGTGGACGTCAGGAGTAAGTCAGTGCTGGGATACAGCCTAGAAGCAGCCATGGGCAGGAGAGAGAGAGAAGGAGTGCTCAGAGAAAACAGCATCTGCCAAAAGTGGAACTTTAAAGAAAAAGTGATAAATGACCAGTATCACACAACAGAACAGATAGAAGTAAAAGAAGGGATTGAGAATTCATTAGAGTGCATCACTATTAAAGATAAAGATGACAATCCTGATGGCATTCCTCAAGAGCTGTGCATCATGATTTTTGAGGCCAGTTAGGCTAGGTTAGCTCAGCAGAGAGCCTCAGGGATGTCCCTATCTCTAGCCCCAGCACTGACATAACAAACATGCAGTCCATGTCCAAGTTCCTCTTCGTGGGTTCTGAGGGTCACACTCCGGTCCTTACACTTGCACAGCTAGTCCTTTACCAAATGAGCTAACTCTCAAGCGCCAAGACGCCATTTGTAAAGCAGCAAATGTGACAATTGGATCACTGATAATCTTTACAACAGATTTTAAGTATGACATAAGTGAGAGTTAGAGCAATAGCAGCTGTCCAAGAGCATGTCTCCTCTAAGTACACAAACAGCACACGCTTGGTCCCACACAAGTGAAGGCTGTCAAGTCCCCAAGCCCTTTCTCAAAATACAAACTTCTCATCAACCTCAGACCTTCTGAATCAAAATTACCACAAAGAAGCCTAACAAGAAACCCTTGAGGAGCGGGCAGTGGTAGTGCACACCTTTGATCCCATCACTCAGGAAGCAGAGGCAGGTGAACCTCTGTGAGTTTGATGACAGCCTGGTCTACAGAGTGAGTTCCAGGACAGCCAGGGCTACACAGAGAAACCCTAACTTGGAAGGGAGGAAGGGAGAGAGGGAAGAAGAGAGGGAAAGAGAGAGAAAAGGAGGGAGAGAAGGAGGGAAGAAAAGAAGACATTTTAGAATACTAATCTGAAAAGTTTGAGAAATTAATCCAGTGGGCCTTGTCTTCCTAAGGCCTGGATAGTTGCCATTTTAACCACACCTTTAAAAAAGATCCTGACTGTATTCTTCCAGGTGAGAAGTCTTCAGTTACAGCAAATAACAGGAATGGAAGAGCCTAACACAGGGCAAGCTGTCTTCTGAAGTACAGTAAGAAAAGGCAGTAAAAAAGGAGAGAGCCAGAGTCCAGGAACCATCAGGGAACTGGTGAGCACTTCTGTCTAGAGAAGACACTGATAAGGGGCAGGGTATCAGATCCAAATAAGGACATGAGAATGATCAAACAGAACACAGATGAGGAGAAAATAATTGAATATACATAAATCTAAAGGAGAAACTCACCAGGCAGTGGTGGCACACGCCTTTAATCCCAGCACTTGGGAGGCAGAGGCAGGTGGATTTCTGAGTTCGAGGCCAGCCTGGTCTACAGAGTGAGTTCCAGGACAGCCAGGGCTACACAGAGAAACCCTGTCTCGAAAAAAAAAAAAAAAAAAAAAAAAAAGGAGAAACTCTGTCTTCCTAGTGCAAACAACAAGCAACATGCACGTGGGGAGAGCAAGGATGGACTCTGGGCTAACTGAAGAGGGGACAAGCTGAAGCAGTAACTATGGAAGACAGAAGCCAACCAACCAAACACCTCACTCACAAAGCACTTGCCACATAAACAGAGACCATGGTGTGAACCTCAGAGCCCAAACTAAAAGTCAGGCCTGGTGGCATAGGCTTGTTTATCCCAGAGTTGAGGAGACAAACAGCTGGATGGCCAGCAGCTTCACTCAGTATGCAAGCCCCAGGCCAATCACAGACCCTGTGTCAAAAGCAAGGTGCCAAGCTCCTGAGGTGACATACTCAGAACTTTCCTCCAGTCTGCACACACATACACCCGCACAGGAATCATTTACAAACTTACCACATGTGACTGAGACTAACATCCTGATCCTCTAATACACAGTGATCTAGAGCTTGAAAGGAACAGGAAATGACTGCCCCGTCCTCTACCCAACAACAGTGAGAGGATTCCTTTCCCTTCTGTGCCTCTGCCTGTTTTAGTGTCACATTAGGACTCTAACACACACACTTATACAATGTGTCCTAAAAAGCTTTTGTCCAAAGTCTCACCTTAACAAACCGCTCATAGCGTGCCTTCACGATTGGGTTGTTTAAGATGCTTGTAGCAGTCAGCACACTCTCCCTCTTTATCTGTTCCTTATATGCCTGTTTGGAAAACAGAACACAGTGAGGTTCTAGAAAGCCATGGCATGGAAAGTTTAGAAACTTAAAGTGGTATTTTACACTCAAATTCCTACATTTAAATGATTCTTACAACACATTAAGCTATGAACAACTATAGCCACTGTACTTGTAATCTCACTCATTCATGGACTGAGAGCATGAACTTTCCTAAGCCAGCAACAACACAGCACACCCAAGTGTCAGTCTTTCACTCCACACGTTATGAAAACATCCAACATAATCAGTCTTCTTCAAGGCTCCTAAGTTATCACAAAGAGTACTAGACAGAGGAGACAAGGTAATAACATGAAGTGTCTACCAGCTGGACATCATAGCTCAAAGTGTACAAAAGAGCATCAAGCAAAATTCACATCATCACAAAACAGAGACTCAAGTCTCCTCTATTTAGTCATTAATTTTTAAATCTTCAAATCCATTTTACAAATGAACTCATTTTTCAAAATATAAGTACTCATGTTTTCTGAAGTAAAGTCAACTAGATAAAGCCCAGTATAAAGAAAAAACAGCATGTCCTAATGAACAAGCAGCCTGTATGCTGTTGAAGGCTATCCTGTTCAGAAGTCACAAGAGACAGTAAATGCTAATACTAGTTTTAAATGTGTTTTCCCAAACAGAAAACAGACCAGTCATTATAAAATTTTCCTTTCCTTTTTGTTAACACACACACATATTCACAAAACCATTTTGTAGCAACTTAAAAATAACAAAAGTAAAAACAAAAACTGCTTCTCAGGTGTCATTTCCTGATGCTCACGTTACAGGCATCATTTTATTAGGTGTACATGTTAGTTAACTGACCCTTAAACAAGCACAAAGGAATGACTCCAGCTTCATCCAACAGATAAGGAAAGTTGGATAAGGAACTTCTTTAACACTAGAATTCTATCCCAGAAAGCCTTGCTCCCAGTCCATGATCTTAACTATGATATGACTCTGCCTCTAAGTTGACACATAGCTAGCTGTTCATATTGAAGATACAGTACAGAAGAATGTCTGAAACAATGGCCAAAGGAAAATTTAAAAACTGGTAGAAAGGTTAAGAACTGTATAGATGCCAGACTTACCTGCTTCCCTTTGCCATGGTCAGAAGACTTCAGGTGCAGCTGAACTGAGCTGTGTAAAGCAGGGATGTACACGCTACAAGCACTACAGTGGACAGTCTCCACTTTCATCATGTGATCGTCCGCAGTAACACCTACAAACAACCTCATTAGGGAAGAACCACCCACACATCCTTACTTCTGACAGATCCAGTTCTCACTAGTTTCCATCATCATTTTTACTCCTTACAACAAAGGATCTGAGCATGTGGGTGTGTGTCAAGTTCTGCACATCTCATGTCTACATATGTAAGGGGGTTTGGGTTTTGTCAGATCCTCCTACAAGTGGAGTTGACGATAGTTGTATGTTAGCTGATGTACATTTTCTTAACTGCTGAGCCACCTGTCCAACACCACGTCACGCACTCTCATCGTGTAAGTCACTCGTGCTTAGAGCTTTTAGTCCACCTCCTCAAAAAAACACAGCTAAATGGATGTTATTTTAGTAAAGTAAGAGTTCCATTATTATGTACATGAGTGGGCAGAAAAAGCAAAAAAAGATGCTATAAGGAGCCGGGTGGTGGTGGTGGCGGCGGCGCACGCCTTTAAGCCCAGCACTTGGGAGGCAGAGGCAGGCGGATTTCTGAGTTCGAGGCCGGCCTGGTCTACAGAGTGAGTTCCAGGACAGCCAGGGCTACACAGAGAAACCCTGTCTCAAAAAAAACAACAACAAAAAAAACCCCCAAAAAACAACAACAAAAGAAAGATGCTATAAGGAACAAAACCATTCATTCTCAACCTACAGAATGACCACTCTAAAACAATCTTGAGCTAACTATGTAGCTCACTGGTAGCTCTTATTACAAAGTGGAGTGGTTTGGGTGACAATGTGTCCCACATAGGTTCTGGGATTTAACAACTGGGACCCATGTGGTGGTGCTCTCTGGGGAGGCTTATCCTTGTTAAAGGATAAATGTCAAACCCGCACTGGGTTTGGAGTGCTTACACCCTCTCCCTGCTTTAGTCTGTTTCCTGCTTGGGTTTGTGGTACAAGAGGTGAGCTCTCAGCCTCCTCTCCCTGACACCAAGCCATCCTCTCAGTGCCCAGCTCTCTATGTACCATGCCTTACACTGTACAAGATAGAGGACCACTAATGTCCTGAAGTTATGTGCTCAGACTGTAGAATTCAAAGAAAGAGAGAGAGGGACGGAAGGAGGGAGGGAGGGAGGGAGGGAGGGAGGGAGGGAGGGAGGGAGGGAGGGAAGGAGGGAGGGAGGGAGGGAGGGAGGGAGGAAAGGAGTAACTGAAAGGAAATGACAGAAAAACGACTATGAACTATTCAGAGACCAGGTGAGGATTTGAACACATGCAGCCTGGTTTTAGATTTACTTCACACACATGCCTATGTAACACGTAGGTGCTTGGTGCCACTGGGGTCACGGGAGGGTGCTGAATCCCCCAGACTGGGAGCTACGAATGTGAGGAGTGACCATGTTGGTCCTGGTAGTCAAACTTGGGTCCTTGGCAAAACTAACAAGTCTTCTCAACCGCTGACTCATCACTCCAGCCCCCAAATGCAACATTTAAAGGAGGGGTAAGTAAACAGATTTGTTCAAATGTAAAAACTATAACTAAGCCATGCTGCACATGAATAGAGGAACTTTTGATAACTCCTTACTCCCACTTTGGTGGATGGTAGAGCTATTATTCAAGAAAAATAAAGTATTTTGAGTTTTGTTTCCTTATTGAAAGACTAGCAAAGGAAATGACAGACTTTGGAGATATGCTGTTTTATTTTGATTTACTTTTATTATCTTTTAATTTTTTGCATCTCTGTGTCTGTGTGGGTGGTGCTGGTGCCCAAAGAGGCCAGAATGTCAGAGCCTCCTGGAGCTGGAGTCACAGGCAGTAGTGAGCCACCAGACACAGGCACGGGGAACCAAAGCAAGCTCTTAACATTCATCACCTCTCCAGGCCCAAATGTTGATTTTATACGACTACTGAAAAGATGGCAGCAGGCAAATGAATGAAACAAGATTTCAGAAAACAGATCTGTCCTAGACCTACAGATATAATTCCCGTAAACATGTTAATTTAGACTCTATATGTAAAGTAGTTCACCTGAAAGAAACATAAAGGAAGATTATAATGAAAACAATGACTGTTGAAGTCCAAAGACTAAAAGCAGATCGAGGGGATTAAGAGAACACTGGGACAGTAAAGGGTGAGGGGAAAACAGATTCACAGACAACAGAGTGGGTGGAAAACGCTATCGAAGATGTTTTAAACAATAACCATCATTCTGGGTTGAGCTCACACCTGTAATCCTAGCACTCAGGAGGCAGAAGGTCAAGGTGAGGGGCTACGTAGTAAGACCATATCTCAACACAAAATAAGGGCCAGCTTTCTGTCTAAGTAGTCTCAGCAGCTAATCAGAGCTGAAGCTGTTTATTAAGTGTAACTGCGAGAGCTAAAGGACGAGGGTTAAAAACACATTGGGTTAGAAATACATAATGCTGAGCAGTGGAGCTCTGGCCTACAGAATGTTGCCTATAGAATGGTTGTTTACAGATAAAAAGGCAAGTTGTGATAGAATTATGCTTTTGTTCTTTTTTGGTTTTATTTTTTAAAAAAGAATAAGCTTACTTATATAGGCTTCAGTGATGGAATCAAAAAAGAAGGAAAGACTGAAAAAAGTTAATGACCTGAATTTCAGAGAGAAATAACAGAACTGGAGAGGAGGCTCAGAGATTAAGAATCAGAACTGCTTTTGCAGGGGACCTATGTCTGATTTTCAAAACCCACATTGGGGGTCTGGGTGACTCCAGGTCTAGGGTACAGGAAGCCACTTCTAGCTTCCTTGGGCACTGCAGTCATGAACAGTACTCCCACCCATATAACTTTTTTAAAAAACTTAATTCTTAAAAAAAAATTAAAGAAAGAAAAACAGCAGGAAAATTAGGGACAAATCCTTCATCTAAAGCAGTGCTTCTCAACCTGTGGGTTGTGACCCCTTTAGTAGTTGCACAGATACCCTGCATGTCAGACAGTTACATTATAATTCATAATAACCGCAAAGTGACAGTTATTAAGTAGCAACCAACTGGTTCTCAACCTTCCTAATACTGTGACTCTTTAATACAGTTCCTCAAGTTGTGGTAACCCACAACCATAACATTATTTCATGCTATTTTGTAATTATAATTCTGCTACTGTTAATACAGTTTTGGAGACAGAGGTTTGACAAAGTCAAGTCCCACAGGTTGAGAACCTCTAATCTATACTGAAGAGAGAGGTAACTATAAGCAATAATAAACACGCAAGCATGGAAACAAGAAGTTAGGAAGTCTACATCTGATATGCTACAGCAAGTATGACTGTAAATTGTATCAGTCTTGAGGTTTTCAGGTTATGATACATAAAGTATAAACATAAATTTATAAAAACAACTTGCCTAAATACTCACCTTCCATAATATCTTTTTCAATTATTTTGTAAGCTTCTGGGTGATTAAGTGTCTGTTGCTTACGAATAGATGCTTTTTTAAATTTATTCACCATACATTCCTAGAAAATAAAAAGAAAGAATACAGACTCTTTTCAAGGAGCACCTACTGTATGCTCATCCTATGGGGATGGAGCACCATCACTGACAGGCATTGCTGCTCTGTAAGGACAAGAAACCCACGGCTGACTTGAAGAGATCATCAGAAAACACTAGAAACCTGCTTCACTTTTCCCAATGTCTTCTAGGCATCTGGAGTGAGAAATCAGAGGCTGGATGGTAACCTTCTCAGGTAAGTGGGTGAATCATAATGGACAGATAGAAACCTAGTATGGGAAAATTACAGGAAAAAATTTAATCTAATCAGAGGACATAATTCTGCTTGATATAGAGGTCTTGAGTGAACACTGTATTTTTAACTTTCTACCAGCCCAAACTAGTTTTGTGCAATTGGCAGTTCAGCTCAAACCTCCTCTTTCAGCATTTCTGACAGAAAGTACTGTTTGCTTTTTCAAGTCCCACAGTATTTCTGCAGTCTTGGCATTTCCACCTAAATAAAACTATCTGTGCACCCTTGAATATGTTTTATTTCCAATTACGGCTGGCTCATTAAGAGTAATGCTAACGGTCTTCAAAATAATCTATTAAATTGACAACCACTTGGAAAATATAAAGACACCAAACAGACGCCATTCTTCCCTGGCACTGAAATTCTGGCTCTGCTGTCTAGTGACATGGTCATTTAGCTTCTGTGGAAATGAGTTCATCTGAAATGAAGGATTAATGTACCAAGCCTATTTCCAGGTCCACAGTGGATTCTGCAGGAATGGCAGACGAATAGGAATCAATGAATAGCTAAAGGAATTCTTTTTCCTGACAACTTTTTCAGAAATAATTATGAGAAATGAGTTCTCAAGTTAAAAATCCAAATTCTAATATGAAATTCACATCTATCTAATTTTAACAAGTTTTCTTATATGAGTAATTATCAGTTATTTTAGAAATATAAACAGGTGAGGAAGAAATTGTAGAAAGCGATCAAATAAATGCAGATCAAATAAAATTCTTCCCATTTCAAAGAAAATCTACTTACATGTAAAAACTCCATAACTACTTTATCAAATTTGGTTTGTTTCTGAATATGATCTAATGTTTCCTGGTGTGAAGAACTTTCGAGATGCAGTTCAATATCTTTTTCTTCAAAGGTGCGAAATTTACAAAATGAACATGTGAATGCCATTCTATAAAGAAAAGAAATTTTCTTTAAATATTACTTTATTCATTTAGAGCCTCTAAAAACAGTTTTATTAGTTGAAATTATTCTCTTTCTAACTCTGAAATTGAGGTAGAAGAGAAAAATAGTATTCAAGTTCCTATTCAGACAGCACAGCCACAGAAGTACTTTCCAAGTACTTTCCATTTTAAGCTTCTGGTATAAAAAATATAAGGACGAAAAAAGTGATAACTTCAAGCCCAAAGGTTACTGCTTAAATCCATCACTGACTCCTTAATACTCAAAGAGGGTGAGGGTGAGAGTTGGAGAGATGGCTCAGAAGTTAAGAGCACTGACTGCTCTTCAGAGGTCCTAAGTTCAATCCCCAGCAACCACATGGTGGCTCACAATCATCTGTAATGGGATCTGATGCCCTCTTCTGGTGTGTCTGAAGACAGCTACAGTGTATTCATATATAAAATAAATCTTTAAAAAAAAAAAAACTAAAAAAAAAAAAATCTCAATCTCAAAATGCTTTCAGATACTACTCTCTTTTTATCTGTACCCAAGAATCTCTTAGCAATACATAGCACATCCTATGTCTTTATTAAACATTTTGATTATGTTACATTTTTAAATCATTACTTCCTTCCAATCCAGTTTTCTACTTCTGTATAATCAGTAAGATGCCTACTTGTTGGCTTTTACCTTAAGGCACGCAATCTACCTGGATTGCCTCTCACAGTTCTTGCAGTTCAAACAACACCTCCATCATGCTGCCTCTTGGATCTACTGCCAGGGATTCAAACATTACTCTTAATAAGACTGACTACTTTATATTTCTCTTCCTGCACTTTTCAGCATCTACTGCTGTGTCTCACCCCAGGTTCCCCTAAGGAGTGCACACAGTTCCCTTTTCATCATAGTGAAAACATTCAAATATCAAGAAACCTATCCAAACATAGTCATTTACCATCAACCTCCAACCTCCTAAAGTAAAACCTCTCTGGTTAGTTAAATAACTGTACATGTGGCTGTAGATGTAACTCACTAGTAATGAGTATCTGTAATATGTGTTAGGTTCTGGTTTAATCAGAAGTATTGTTTTTAAGGTCTAAAACACTGTAGGATTTTGTTTTTTAAGATTCATATTCTATAAAATGACAATTCAATTGAATTGCCAGGCTTAAGGCTATGGAGGGAAAGAATGAAAAACGTGATTCTTTCATCTTTTTCCTAATTGCAAAGTTTATTCTACTAACAGTTATATATCAAATTCAAACCTATTTTCAAATTTTAATGGGAAAACTACTCAGAATAATTAAACACAAATTTTAATTTTATAATAATAATACTTAGATTCCTATATATTTAACACTGTTCAATTAATTCCCACACTAAAGTATAATATAACTATTATTTATGCCAAATGGAATTTAAAGAACTATGGAGCAGGGGAGAAACAAAAACCAAATGGTCCTGTTAAAACTCTAACTCCACCACCCAGAAAGATCTCCTACTTCCTTCTTGCAGGTCTAGCTCAGTGAGTCCCTCTGACCTTACCCATCCACCCCTTCCCCCAATCCTTCAGATATATCCCAGGCCTCATACCTAATGCCCTGGCCTAGGTTTCTGCCAGAATACTGTCTACCTACCTGTCAACCCACCCACTCCTCCCATGCTACATCCAACCTTTGCACCGAGCCTGACCCAGTGCCCACCTTCCAGGCGTGGACCACATCCTGTCTACCAGCCCAGTCCACCTCACTTCATTCCACAAGCCATGTCCACCCTTTAGTTCCTCTTCTGCCCAAACCCGTTTATATCAGACTGAGAACAAAGCAACTCCACATGCTAGATCTCATCAGAAAAAATACAAACAATATGGAAGAACAAGGCAGTATCTTCTCTCCAATCCTACCAGTTCTGCAGAAATGTTTGCCAATAAAAAATTACCTAAGTGAAACCGAGGACACAGAATTTCAAAGAAAAATCATAAATTTCACCAAAGAATTCAAGAAGTTTAAAAGCACAAAGAAACATCTCAATGAAATTAAGGAAACAGAACTTAAGAAGAATAAATTCCTAACTGATGTCCGAGAGAACACAAACCAGGCTGAAGGAAATGATGAACACAGGCCTGGGCTTGAGAACAGGACTCCATGAGGAGACAGAAACACTGTGGATTCAGGCTGAGTCCAGTAACTCAGCTAGAACCCACAGGAACCCTGATAAGAGAGAATCAAACAGAAGATAGAATGGATCAAGACACAGAGAAGAGGAGAGGACCTAGACCAAAGAAATCAGACATATAAAAATTAAAAAACAAAAACCATAGGAAAGAAACATACAGGAAAAGTGGGACACCATGAACTAATCAAACCTTCAAATTATAGGCATAGATGAAGGAAAGGAATCCCAAGTCAATGGCATAGACCAGATGTTCAACAAGATTACAGAAGAAAAGTTCTCCAAACTAAAGGAAGTCATACTCATACAGACAGAAGTATACAGAATATCAAACACACTAGACAAGAAAAGAAGGTCTTCATTGGCATAGCATAACTAAAACACTAAGTATATATACATAGAAAGATAAAGTGATTTGTAAGAGAAAAACACACAAGTCACACACGAACAAAACCTATCAGCATAACAGCTGATTTCTCAAAGGAAAGTTTGAAAGCCAGAAGAGCCTGGAGCAATGCATCCCAAGTCCTAAAAGACTATGACAACCAGCCCAGACTAATATATACAGCCAAAACTGACAGCAAAACTATCTACCATGATTGAAGAAAATAAGAAAACCTTTCCATGATATAAGCAGCACAAAAAGTATATCTGAAAACCAAACCTAATGAAAATATAGAAAGCAGTAATTTGGGCTGAAGAGAGAAATTGAGCATAGCAGACACTACGGGAAAAAAATATGAAGCCATAATTATTAAAACACAAACTACGACTGAGAACACAACACCAAGAATCAACAACATGATGACTATAATTAACAAGTACATTTCAATAATAACTTTAAATATCAGAGGCCTCAATTCTCTAATCGAAATACGCATGCTTACTGAATGGGCAAGAAACAAAATCTATCTGTTGTCTACAAGTAACACACATATCTTTAAATATAGGCACTGTCTTAGAATAGAAGGATAGACAAAGGAACTCTAGTAAAATGGGACCAGAAAGCAAGCAGGCTTCTCAATCCTAATACCTAACAAAACAGACTTTAACGAGGGATACTTCATTCTAATAAAAGGGACAGTTAACTAAGAAGACATTACCATCCTAAACATATATGCACCAAATTCTGGAGCATGCTATTTTACCCAAAAACAACAACAACAAAAAACAAAAAACAAAAACCAAATCAAAACAAAAACAAAACAAAAAAAACACTACTAGATTTAAAGACACAGATTAACATCAATCCATCAATAGTAGGATATTTCAAAAGGGCCATGGTGGTACAAGCCTTTAATCCCAGTACTCAAGAAGCAGAGCCAGGTAGATCTCATTGAGTTTGAGGCCAGACTGGTCTACAGAATGAGTTCCAGAATAGCCAGGGCTACACAAAGAAGCCTTGTCTCGAAAACTAAATACAAAACAAAAAATAGTAGGAGATTTCAATACCTCACTTTTCCCCAATAAACAGTCATCTAAAACAAAAATAGAGAACCATCAGACTTAATTAACACCATACATCAAATGGACTTAACAAATATTTACAGAATATTCCACCCAAACATCAAAGAATATACATTCTACAAAGCAGCACATTGAAGCTTTGCTAAAATAAACCATATCCTGGGAACCAAAACAAATCTTTACAAATTCAAAAGGACTAAAATCACTCTTTGTATCTTATTTGACCACTATGCAATAAAATTTAAAGCTGACAGCAAATGCAGTTCTAGTAAATACACAATTCATGGAAACTGAAGAATGTGTTGCTGAAAATGAGCAAGAAAGAAAACTTTCTGGAGTTAAATAAAAATGCAAACACAGCAAACCCCACCCCATAAGGAGAGGCGGCAGGTCAGGTGTCTACATTAAACGGTTAAAGAGCGCAAGTAAATGACAATGATGCAAGCTGAAGGCATGAAAAAGAACAAACCAAATCCAAACCCAACCAATGGCAAGAAATAATAATAATAAAATAAATGAAATAGAAACAACAAAAACTGTACAAATCTAAAACTGTACTGAATCTAAGAGCTGCTTAAGAAGATAAACAAGATTGACAGACCCACCTCTCAACAACTCCCCATCCAAAAAGAAAAAAGAAAAGGAAGGAAGAAAGAAAGGAAGGATGGAAGGCAGGCAGGCAAAAGAAGATCCAAAGTAACACAATCAGAAATGACCAAGGAAATATTACAACAGACAGCAAAGAAATTCAGAATATTAAAAGGAAATATTTTTAAAACTTGTACTCCATTAAGCTGGAAAACCTAAAAGAAATGGATTGATTTGTAGATTCTGCAAGACTACAAAAATTAAAGCATGAAGTCAGCAACCTTAAAGCCTTCCAGGTTAAAAACAAAAAGGCTGGGACCAGATGTATTCACAGCAGAATTCTACCAGACATTCAAAAAATTTCTATTTCAAAAAATAGAAACAGAAGGAGCACCTCCAAATCCCTACAAAGCCAGCTATCACTCTTAATACTAAAAACCAGGTAAAGACAGCCCCTTCAAAAATAATAATAATAATAATAATAATAATAACTACAGGGAATATCCCTCAACACAAGACTCAAACATGCTCACTACCTACAAACAGAATGCAGACATACATTAGAAAGATTATCCCACATAACCAAGTTGGCTTTATCCCTGAGTGCAGTGATGGTTCAACATACTCAAGTCAATAAAAGACAACAATTAGCTGCAGAAAGCTGACAAGATCCAACATGCCCCCAAGGGCTTAGAGGAGACATAACAACATATAGTAAGCACTATGTAGGAGACACCCACAACCACTAAGTGAAGAAAAGGTTGAAGCAATGCCACTGAAGTCAGGATCGAGACAGGGATGTCTACTCTCCCCACTGCTTTTCAACACTGGGCTTGAAGTGCTAGCCACAGCAATAAGGCAAAAGAAGGAAATTAAAGGGGTACAAATAGGGAAAGAAATCAAACTACCTCTATTGCAGATGACATAACTATACAGACCCCAGATATTACACCAGGAAATTTTTATAAATAACATATTAAACAATGTGGCAGGATATAGAATTAACTTGCATGAATCAAACTACTAAGCTTTTCTATACACCAACAACAAACATACAGAGACAAGGTCATAGACATACGTCCACTCACAATAGCCTCAAAGAAAATTTAAGTATCTCCAAATAAACTCAACCAAGGAAGTGAAAGACCTCAAAAATGAAAACTTTAAGCCTCTGGACAAAAAGAGAAAAAAAGACAGTAAAAAAATGGAAAGACATCCCACACACAGGGATTGGAAAAATTAACATTAGAAAAATGACTGTTTTAGCAAAAGCTAGTTACAGATTCAAAGCAAGCCCAAATCAAAATCCCCATCTCATTCTTCACAAAAATAGAAAAAAAAACTATCCTAAAATTCACATGGAACCACCAAAGTTCCATGACAGCCAAAACAATCCTGAGCCAAAACCAAACCAAAACCAAACCACACCACAATGCTAAATGGATTACCATTCCGGATCTTAAGATACACTACAGAGCCATAGTAATAAAAACAACATGGTGCTGGCACAGACAACAACGGAGCAAAATCGAAGACCTAAACATGAGTACATGTACCTTCAACCACTTCATATTTGACAAAGACACCAAAAACACAATCTGGAGAAAAGAAAGCATCTTCAACAGATAGTGCTGAGAAAACTGGATTCCACATACAGAAGAATGAATACAGACCCACGTCTATCACCTTGTACAAAAACGAATTCCAAATGGATCAAACACCTAAAAGTGAAACCTGAAAATGCTAGAAGAAAACACAGCCAATATCCTACATGATACAGCATAGGAAAGGAATTCTTGAATAAGATTTCATTTGCCCAAGAATTAAAGCTAACATCTGTCACATGGGATTTCATAAAATTAAAAATTGTCTGCACAGCTAAAGAAATAACCCAAAAGGGGAAACCCACACAATGGGAGAGAATCTTGGCCAGCTACACATGTGACAAAAGATTAATATCCAGGCTATATAGAGAACTTTAAAAAAAAAAAAAATGGGCCTGGGACCTGAACAGAGTGGTCTTAAATGAAGGGGGGTGGGGAGAAGGCTAAGAAAAAAATCTCAAAAGACATTCCATCATCCCTAGCAATAACAAAAAAAAAAAGAAAAAAGAAAAAAGTAAAACAACTTTGAGATTTCATCTTACCTCCATCAGAATGGCAAAGATTAACAAATCGACCAACAACAAATACTAGAGGGGATGCAGGGAAAAAGGAACCATCATTCACTGTGGATGGGATTGTGGATTGCAAACTAGTGTAGCTACTATGGAAATCAGTGCGAAGTGCTCTCAAAAAGATCTAGCATATGACACCACTCCTTGGCTATGCCCCAAGAACTAAACATCCTACTCCACAGATACTTACTCAGATGTGTTCAATGCTCTAGTCACAATAGCTCAATGTCCTTCAACTAACAAATGGATAACAAAAATATGGTGCATATACACTGTGAAATACTATTCAGCTGCAAAAAAAATGGAATCATGAATTTTGCAAGTAAACAGATGAAAGTTTAAAAAAAAAAAGTACTGAGTGAGTTACCCCCGACCCAGAAAAATAAATGTTGCATGTTCTAAGTGCAACAGTGGCACCCATACCCCGGCAGTAACCAATAGCTCTCTGACTGGACTTACAACCTACTCAAGTAGAGGGAAATCATGGCTGATCCTAGAAACCTATCCTACTAGCTAAGGCTAGTGAGGTCATGGATCTGAAGAAGAACCTACAACCACCACTTACCACACCAACATAATGCCCAAGTACACTAAATGTAAATATTTGTCCTTGTAGCCATGGATAAGTGCAGTCTTCACCTCTCATAAGGAAACTTGTCTTTGCAACAAACAAAGACCATTATAGAAAACCACAACAATCAAAATGCATGTGGAACCTAGTCCCAAAACAACTCCCATTCATAAGTCTCAGAAACACTGCAGAAGAGGAAAGACTGTAAGAGTCAAAGGATCAGGGCATTTGTTGTGAGAGTGTGTCTCCTGGTAATCTCAGAAGCTACACCTTAAAAACTCAACAACAAGGACATGCCAAAGTGGGTGAGGAAAAGCCCACAAGGTCTCTACACAATGAACTATAGTCAACTACAGAACGCTGAAAACAGGAGAAATTCCAGGTCTTCCCCAGGGAAGAGCACATCAACTGATCATCCCGAGCAAGTCTGCCCTGAAAACATGTGCAAGTAGCATTACACTACCTCAGACTCAGGAACATATACATAGATACATATATATGCATGCAAGTAAAAGTTAATAAAAAAAAGAGCCCATGCCCACAAATTTCAAAGAAAGGAAGGAGGCAGATATGGGAGGGTCTGCAGGGAAGAAAGGAAAGGAGACAATGACATAATTATATTATAATCTCAAAAATAAGAAAGTTTCATACAAAAACAAATTTCAACTCTTCTTTATGGAGTAACTTATTATGTAATCATGTTGTAATAATGCTTTCTGTAGATTAAACTGTGTTTTTAGGTTATTTACTTGATTGATAAAAATCAGTGGATACAAAGTTGTTTAACTTTTTTAAACTGCCATCTGATTTCTAATAGTCATAACATTATACAATTACCTACTAAACTTTAAGTTAATGTGCTTACACCGCAGCTGGTGAATCAGTATTTCTCTAACAAAACAGCTGCTACTTACCTTTCATTTGATTTAAATTACTATCAACATTTTTCTTCAAGGCATTAAGTAGCTATGTTCCTTTACTAAATTACACAGATATCTTAGTTGTCTTTCTTTCAAAATATGTGGGTAGTTTTTATCAAGGTTAATGTTTAAATTAGACAACAGTTACGTCTTATAATTAAATTTTCTAAGACCACTTGCTTTCCTTTCAAATTTTGAGGCTTAAAGCTGAAAAAATGACTCAGTGATTAAGAGCACTTGCTGTTCTTGCGGAGGATCACAGTTCAGTTCTTAGTACCCACAGGGTGGCTCACAATCCTAACTCCAGTTCCAGAAGACCCTATGCCCTGACTTCTGCAACTACTGTACACATATGATGCATATGCATACATGCAGGCAAAGATTCAGATTAATGAAATATCAATAAATCTTTTGTAAAAAAAAAGAAAAAAAAAGGTTTTGAGTCCACAGTCAAATCTATTCATCTTTTTCTAAAATATATTTTACTTTTTTTTAAGTGGGAGTGGGAGGACGGTTATCCAAGGAGACCAGAAGAGGCTACTGGACCCCCTTAAGATATAATTGTAAGAAGCTGAAGTAACAGGAAGATCTTTGCCTCACAACATGCTAGGAACTAAACATGGGTTTAGAAAAGCAACACATTCTTTTTACTGCTGAGCCATCTTTCCAGCCCTATACTAACTCAATAACTATAATAATTCATTTCTTTCATACCTATAATAACTGACTTTAAGCCTGGAGGGTGGGGGAGAGAATGTTACAGAGAAGATAATCCTTCATTTTACTCTCCTTTTGCTTTTTAAAATCTCTAATCTCTCTACATAAGAGGCTCTAAACTGACTCTAAAATTTAGTGGTTTAACCAAATCTTTTTATCTTGCATGCGCACACACACACATATTATATATAAAATTTGTAATATATATTTCCATGCTTATATAAATGGAGTCTGCTCACAGGCTAACAATTCTGTCACCAGCCTTATCACAGCCTGTCTTCAGTGCTAGGCATCATATCAAGCACTTATCAGTGTGCTTCCCTGGATCCTTTGTACACTTGTGTAGTTGTGGGTTCAGGAACAATTCAGAGGGAAATCTCCTATTTCCTTGAGATGTCTCACTGGGTCTTGAACTAAGCTGCAGCCAGCAAGCCTCAGCAACCCTCCTGTCTCCACTGGTAGAGAGCACGCTCACTACCACCTTTCTGTAGGTGATGGGGACCCTCACACGGGTGGGTCCTCGTGTTGTGCAGCACACAGTCTTACCCACCAACCCACCTCCCACGCCCACATTATGACCTTTCAATGTGTCAATATCCAAAAATGCCAGTGCTTAGTCATTCATCATTCTTTCAGAAACTGCTCTGGTAGCTCTATTGGAAATAACTTATACACTAATAAAACTCAAGCTTCCCTCTCAAGAACATCACAGTGTCTCTGCAGTCAAATCTCAAGACTACAGACTTTGGCCTCTGCCACTCAACTGCTGAGATTATAGTTACGTACTGGTGTACTGGGTTCACGCAGTACTGCGTGATGAGTAGTCTATCAAGGCTTTGTGTGTCCAAGGCAGACACTCTACCAACAGCCCCAGCCCCATTCCTCTATTCATTTAGTCAAATCTCTGTTGACTTGAACTGTTTCATATTCTATAAAATGTATTTGCCAATTTTAGGAAATTTTTGAGATAGGGTCTCAGTGTATCGTCTAGTCTGAACTAAATTAACCATCTTCCTACACAGCCTTATAAGTACAAGTTATAGGGATGTGACACTACGCTTAGGAAAGTGACCCAGCTTAAAAAATCTACCTTTCAATAAGCTTCATTTTTGATTTAGTGACCACAAACCTGTATCCATCTCCGTATTTCTCACTGTTTTTCTCTCGCCTACGTCTTTGCTTCTCTCTCCGAGCCTCAATTCGCCGCTTTTCTTCTTCTTCATTTTTAGGATCAGTTTTTGCTAAGATTTCAGGAAAAGAAGGAAAAAAAAACTTCATTTTAATACATTGTGACTTTCTATATCTGCTTCATTTTTATGTGACTATTTGCTACATACTTTTGTTTAAATCTGCTTATTTTTGCTTATTCTTGTGTTTTATATTCAGTATATCTGGAGAAAGCATCTAATACTGTATTTCCTATTTTTAAATGATAGATTAAAATGTCTATAATTAGAAAATTTTTTTCAATTATTTTTATTTTATGTATGAGTATTTTTGTTTGCATATATGTAGGTGCACCACATGTATAATATATGTGCAGTGTTCATGGAGGCCAGAACCTGCTACTGGAGTTACATACAGTTGTTGGCTGCTATGTGGGTGCTATGAACCAAACCTGGGTCCTCTGCAGAAGGAACTCTAACAACTGACCCACATCTCCAGCCCCAAGAAAAAGTTCTTTAAAATGAAAAGAGAAGCTGAGGAGATGGGCAAGGGTGCTTAGTGCACACGCATGGAGCGTCTCACTCCAGCACTCAGGTAAAGAGCAGGCTGTGGTCACACCAGTGTCTAAAACCCCAACAACACTTTGGGGTGCGGAGAAAGGAGAGTCAGGGCTTTGCAGTCTACCAGTCTAACTTCTGATTCACTGAAGGAGTTAGTCACAAGGACATAAGATAAAGAATAATACAGCAAGAAACCCCAAATTATTCTGTGGCCTCTACATATGCACACACAGATATGGGTAACACACAAGTGCATACAATACATACACACACAAATATAAAAATAAATGAAGAGGGAGAGAGGGAGAGAGGGAGGGGTAGGGGGGGAGGGAGGGAGGGAGGGAGGAAGGGGTGCTGTGGAGACAGAGCTCAGTGGGTAAAACGTTTGCCACACAAGCATCACACATCAGCTTGGCTTGAAAATATACCAAGTAATGTGTGTATATTCTTTAACTAGTGCCATGTACAGGAAGCATTCAGTAAAGACTCTGTTACTACTAACACTTTCAATCTGGGGCTGGCTGGAGAGATGGCTTAACAGTTAAGAGCACTGAGTCTTCTTCCAAAGGGCCTGGCTTCAATTCCTAGCATTCCTGAGAGCTCACAACTATCCCTAACTCCAGTTCTATAAAATATAAATAAATCAATCTGGAAAAGTACCCCCAAAAAGAAATCATGAGAAACTTTAAAATCATGCTTTTATCAAATTGTATACACTTACTAATCCTTAATTTAATTGGAGATAAAACATTAACAAATACACTGTCAGTATTTCAAAATTATAATAACTACCCACTTTTAAATTAAAATGTATTTAATTAGAAACTATTCTGGGCTTGACTGCTCCCCTACTCCTTTTAGGAGGAATTCTTACTATCATCACTGTTGTTTAAAGCAATTCCTTCAATGAAACTACTTAATAAGAAGCTCAGATTTTAAAGTTGTTTTGGTTAAAAAAAAGTTTCTAATTTTCTCAAAACAAGTTTGAAAAATATGACATCATTTATATTGCAAAAAACTTCTTATTCAGTATTCTCTTTGTATATACAATCCATCCTTGGCCAAATCACTGCACAGCACATAGCTATATATGCTTTTGTGTGGACCGCTAGGTTTTTCTGGGCCTAACTCTAGGAATGGAATGCTGAGTCATATAATTCAGTTTCATCACCAGGGATGCCAGTCTCTTTTTTCAAAGTGCATGCCCCGTTGTTCATATGTGCAGACATTTCTCCATGGCTACCAAGCACATTGGTAAATGGCCATAATTGCAACGATCAGGACCCAATGCAGGAGGATTACCCTAAGATGGTCTATTTGTGGCCAAAGCTAACCTGACCACCTTGAAATGGAAACCATCTGATTCTCTAGGCCAATACTGAGCCAGCCAGGACTACAGAGCATGATCACATCTTCAAAAGAGAGGGAGAAAGGAGGTAGTGAAGTGACTCAGCAGATAGTGTTTGTCATGAAAGTCTGGCAACCTGAAATTATCCTTAGAACCCACAAAAAGCTACAAGGAAAGAACCAACTCCACCAAGTTGTCCACTGCATCTTCCAGAAGCACATGTGCACCCTCCCTCCCTCTCTAAGTCAATTAACTGATTTTTTATAAAGCAAGTTTCTCCACAGACATGCTAGGCTGGTTAAAGATCTTTTCTATTCTCCCCATTCTGGAGGTCATGGAGTATATAATATGGTACTTTCTGCATTTATCTGATAAGTGACTGTTGATGAGCTTTACGTGTACTTATCGGTCATTATAGGTCTTTTTGAAGAAATATTGATATATTCTGTGTCTATTAAGTTATTTATGTCTTTTTGCTAGTGAATTAAAGTTCATTATATACTCTGGATACAAGTCTTTTCTTAGATACACAGTCTGCAAAAATATTTTTTTACATTTTATGCAGAGTAAAAGAAACAAAGTCTTAGGCTGTTAAAGCACTGATTGCTCTTCCAGAGGTCCTGAGTTCAATTCCCAGCAACATGATGGTTCACAGCCATTTGTAATGAGATCTAATGCCCCCTTCTGGTGTGTCTAAAGACAGTGACAGTGTGCTCATATACATTAAATAAATAAATAAATAAATAAATAAATAAATATTTAAAGAAAGAAAAAAAAGAAAGACACAAAGTCTTATGTATCTGACATGACTTCAAATTCACAATCCTTCTGCCTGAGGCTTCCAAGTCCTGAGATTACAGGTATGTACCACCATACCCAATTTCTTATGATGGCCTTTGAAGCACAATGCTTTTTAGTTTTAATGAAATTTAGCTTTTGGTTTTATTTGTTGCTCATGCTTTTTGTATCCTGTATAAAAATTCCTTGTTAAATATAAAAATCATGAATACTTACTTACCTATGCTTCTACTAAGAGGTTTTTTAATTTTGTTCTTAGAAGCAGTTCTTTCATGCTAGCGTCTGTATAAGGCACTTGACACAAAGACTGTTCTACTCTGAACAGTCAGTCTCCACAGCCTTGTTAAAACCAGTGAATCATGCATGTATGGCTCCCTTCCTGTTCCTCAACTTCCTCCCACAGATCCATATATGTCAGTCATTGGACCAGGACCTCTTTGTTTGAATTAAGAGTGCAAATTGTAAAAGTATAAATTTTTCATTTTTTCTTAAGTTTATTACTAAGTGTGTCCCACCCCTTGGCTCATGATCTTATTCTCATCTCCATATGGGCTTGAATTTTCCAACTCTGTAATAACAGAAATATGACCATCTCTAAGAGATATCATCTCCAGAAGATTAAAAGCAAACTAATTTTCCAGAAGAACATATGACCTAATGCCAAGGATTAGGAAATTTTTCTTCCCTTTGTCCTGACAAGAGTTCTGTACATTATGACATACACTCCTCCAACAATAAATATAACATTCAAGAAAGGAGTCTGAATTAAAGTCATCTGCAAAGCCTTTTAAAAAATACACTATGCTGGGTGTAATGACACATGCCCTTAATCCTATCACTCGGAAGGCAGAGACAAGTGAATCTCTGTGAGTTCAAGGCCAGCCTGGTCTATATATACTCCAGCCTGGTCTATATATCAGGTTCTAGGCCATCCAGAACTATATAGTGAGAACTTGTCTCAAGAAAAACAGAAAGAGAGAAAAGGGTAACTAAGGCTCAGAAAAAAATAAACTGACCAGTGCACATTAATTTCAAAGGTACATTTGAGAGCTGACAATGGATGAGCAAGGAAAGGCACCTGCCATCATGCCGGACAACCTGAGGTCAATTCCTGGGACCTATATAGTGGAATAACAGAAGTAACTCCTGCAGGTTGTAGTCTGCCCTTCCACATGCATGCTGTGGGAAGCACATACATACATACATACATACATATAAACCAATCAAACATACATTTGAATAGTAACAACTGGCTAATAACTACATTAGGGGATTCAGTTATAACTCATACACTTTTCTATATGAATACTAACAGTCACCATAGACGAGTGTGTTCTAAAAGTATAAAGCATCCTGAGCAATAGTCTTACTTACTAGGCGATTTGCTGAGGTTCATCTTATCCATAGGTTTTGCTAGCTTAGGTTTCTTGATAAAGGCTCCCCCGGGCTTAATAAATATTTGCATCATTTTTCTTTTTATTCCTCTTGCAGTAGCAATCGTCACATTGGCAGGTTTGTTTTGATAGTCAACAATAATTCCAGGTCTATGGAAGCCTCCAAAATCACCCATATGCTGTAATTTGTGAAATCAAGAAACATTAGCATCATGTCAATAAATAAAATATGAATTAATACAATTTGTTTGTCGTCTATTTACTAGTTTTCACCTGAAAATTCTGTGGAACGTAACTGAATTTTACATGTCCACTCTGAGAAAGCACATATACAAATTTTATAAATTATTACATGAACTTAATTCCAATGAATTTCCAATATTACATAGGTGGGTATGTCCTTTTTTTAAATTTTTACAATTCAAAACTATTTGAGATCATAAACACCGTGTGCCTGTCAGAAGGTCACCACTTGTACAACTCTCTTGACAACTCTTCAGAGTTCCTCCTTGATGTTTTCCCATCAAAGACCTTAGAAGGAATCTTTATTTTACTAAAACCTAGCTAAAAGATGATCATATTTGTAGTTAAAAGTAAAAAGAATCATTTAGGATCTCTCCCTATTGAAAACGGGACTGAGAAGACGAGATGGAACATTAGCATGAAGTAGGAGAGTTAAAGCATAAGCATGCATCAACTTCCAAGACACACTTCAGATAAAGACTGCATCTGATGTGCCATGCACATTCCTACCCAAAGAACACAGTATGACCCCAGAAGCCCAAGAAACAAAAGTTTATAGACGAAGAGTCATACCAGCAAATGACACTGTACCCCTTCCTCTTCTTTTACCATTAACAAAATCCACCAAGAGGTCATGTGCATAGAAATTTATTCTGCTAGTCTTACTTTTAGAAAGTAAAGATTGAGGAGTAATCTAAAGAGAAGGTCCCAAGGGGAATTGTACAAGTGAAGGTTAAAATGAAGATCCTACCAGTTCATCTACTTGGCTAACAGAAGGAAGGAAAGAGACGTCCACTCAGACCAGAATGGTAAATACAAAGTACAGGAATACTCAGTTTTACTATCAAGAAGACAAAATAGATGCCTGAGTCTTCATTAAGAAAAAATCCTTTGCCTAAAATTATACAGCAAGGAAGATATCAAATATTTTTCCAAATTTTCAAACTAGAATGTATTTTCAATGTCAAAACACAAAGCCTACTACTCCAACTACTTTGAACTGGCCTAAAAAGCATCATATACGGAACACCAACACTGCTGCTTACATAGTAATATATCATTAGAAGTGTCTATCTAACCTGTGAGATTTACACAAATGTTTCATGTAATTATATGGTCACACCAGAAAAACCTTCAGTACAATCATTAAAGGTGCAATGCATTTTGTGTAAGTAAAAGGTGACTGTTAAAAGTGCAAAATGTCTACAGTAAGACAAACTACAGTGATGCTCAAAGGCTAATGAACAGTCAAAGCCACCTGCCCTACTACAGTTCTTCTCAAAATACTTTCTTCTGCAAGGAGAATAAGCACACTGACTTTGATAAAATATCTTATACTATAAAAATGTAAAAATACAATAGCATTTATATGACCAAACTACATAATCCCATAATCTATACACCCTAAATAGGTAAATATTTATCACCAAGTTACCCAAGACCACAAAGAGCAATTGTTACACTATATTCTGAAATTAAACACCTATAAGCTAGTATATTTATCCAGTTAGGCACTAACTTGCAAAATATTACTTCCTAGGAAGGAACCATAGACATATATATAAGTAAGAGATTCTTTCTCAATAGAGCTAGGGAAAATTAAACAGTCGCCAATAGGACATTCAGTAAAAAAGCAAGGTAGCAAAATAATACTGACCTCGAATCAGTCTGCCATCTAGAACACATCAACTTCTTCACCACGGAAACACAGCTAAGCTTTCCTTATCTATCACTGACTTTTGACCTCATGTGTTGAACAAGAAATGTGGAACCTCGAAGGGATTCTACTTGCTAGAGTTTAGTTACAAAGGATAAATATCGTATTATACATTGCACCTTTAACCTACTCAGAAGCTCAAAAAGGGTTCAGTAACCTTTTACAATCCAACAACTATCTCACTAGCAAAACTGCTAGTGTTTACAAGGAAAATGCAACTCCTTTTAACCCCTTTTAGACCAAACCTAATAACCTCTCCTTTTTCATACAGGGAGATTTGAGATAACTTCATGAATTATCATCTCACACTGCAACTTATTTTCTGAGGTGCTGGAAAACTTTTACAGCCAACCTAAAATGTTATAACTCAGCTTCTGGTTAAAATACACTGGGACAAACAGTGTTTGTTCTTGTTGAAAACCATGGTCTTGAAAGGGTTTAAAAGAGTGACTATTGAAAAGAATCTGAAAAGATTCTGTTGTACTTACTCCTCGGCCTCGGCCTCTGCCTGTTGATGGTCCTCCAAAAGCATCATAGTTTCTGCTTCCAAACGTACTTTCAGGATAAGCAGGCGTTCCTCTCCCCCGAGAGCCTACAGGTGCAGGCTTCATATGGGGTGAAGAAAAACTGCTGTAGGAAGAGTAATTCTCTCTTCCTCTGTCCTCCATAAACCCAGGCCTCAATTTTGAACGGGAGTAAGGTGCTTCCCAGCTAGACCCGCCCTGGTTTCTACCTCCGAAAGAGTCAAGGCTATTCCGGTAGGAGCTCTCAAATCGACCACCATAACTACCTCCGAAGCGGGTTTGTTCGGGTTCATTAAAACCATAGCCAGATCTGTACAGATCTCGCCCACCCAGAGAAGACCTGGAGTCGTAAGACTCATAAGGTCCAAACCTGGAAAAGTTGCACAGTGAGGGAAAAAACAAAAGTAAGCTTACTAATGTTAGACAATTCAAAAGACAAGTTATCAGATGACATTTATCAACTAAAATTCATTTATACCATAGTGGTTTGCATAGTTCTACTTTTGCTCACACTTGATTAGGGCTGGGCAGTTCAACAGGAGACCAGACAGAAAGCTATCCGAGTCAGTTTCTAAATACAAATTGAGCTCAGTTAACCTTAGTTTTAAACTCTGCCTTTTAGCAGTGTTTCTAGTGTAATAAGACTCGTCTGTCTAATAATTAAAGCCCAGCCCTAGTCTTAGAAAAGATTATTTGCTAAAGTTTACAAACTAATTAAACTTTCTTTGACTCCTTCCCTAATTCTGAAAATTACAAAACATTTACAATATTTTGGCTTTTCCTAGGTACACAAATTGAAGACTGCATATATGGGGGAGGAGGGGGTCTTTGTGACACTGATCCTTTGCACCTCAATAATCTATATCACAAAACTGCCTCATTTTGACTGTAATAGCCAAAGCTGAGGAATTATCTCAGGTTATAAAGTTTGACATTCTGCCAAACTTCAGCAAGGGCCAATCCTTAAACACTCTGATATAGACTAATATGTCTAACAAATCTAGAAGACTAAACATGTAAAATAGAACGTAAAAGTAAAAGACCACTAACATATACCCTCTACATATAAATTTTCAAAGCAGATGAGAAAGAATACATTTTATAATGCCTGCAATTATTTGAAAAAGTATTTCCTATCAGAAAACTATCACATAAAACTAATCTAAAAGGTAAGCACGCTGTCTCAACTCTGAGAAAAAAGCAAATCATTTTACTTATCACAATCCAAAACAAGGATTACAGAAGTTGCTTGTTATCTTAAAACAGTTTTTTAAAAGCTCACAATTACACAGGTAATGAACGATAACAACTACAGAAATACTTTATGCACAGTACACTTACAATGTAAGAGGGCAATAACTGATACATTAAAACATTTAAATGAGGTTATATTGGTCAACGATTTACAGGTCATTCAATTGAAGATACTATTTAATTCTGAAGCCTGGTAGCCATATAAATACTATTTCTCTTTCCAACTTCGCATTTCAAACATTACAGAGGACAGTAATTAACTGTTTGTTTTCTTGATTTTACTCTACTATAAACCACAGTGGCACACTTGAAGCACAAAGAAAAACAAGCATCACTCAAGCCCATCATTAAGGAATCCGGATCCTTCAGTTTACGAAGGACGATGATCTCAAATGTCTAACTAGTTTGTATTTAGAAGCAAGTTTTGTATCTCAAAAAATCAGACCCCTTCAAAGTTACTACAATATGAGCAACCCTAAGACCTGTGGTTGTTTGGTTTAAACCTCACAGAGTAGCAACACTGAAACAGAAATAGGCTAGGATGTAGTTAAAGGTGCACTGTCCATCGCTTTAATACAACACCCCTAATGTTTAAGCACGAGTGTTTCTAATGTAAGCAGTAGCTGCCTGTAAAGACTTGGATATGATTTAAAGAATAGTTCTATTATTACAATTTGCTCTTCAAACTTGCTTTAAAATTAAAATGAAGTGTTTCTTAGACCCTGAAAGCTGCTAAACGGGTTCGGGGAAAGCCTCTAGGCAGGCTATTTTACTGTTACAGAGCCCACAGCAGAAAGAAACAAAAAAACAAAAAACAACAAAAAACTTTTTTCAACAATTAAAAAACAATAATTAACAAATAAATATTCCAATAATATTTTATATTATTTCATCAGGACATTTTGACTAATAAGAAATTAAAAGTAAAAGAAGTTCTTTTTAAAGTGTCCACTGTTAAAGAATGTATTATTCTATTACGCTGAAATAAAAGATAAATGCTATCCCTCCTAAAATAATGTCTGCCAATGAGACTAGAGAAATGTTGTGCCCATTAATTAGCACCTTTAACTATTTAAGGTGAGTATTCAATAGCAGCAAAATTCAAGTATCAGAAAAGCCTAAGGAATACTTAATACATCCAGAATCGTATAGCTGTCTTATTATTTGGCCGAGTGATTAAGCAATTTATTACCTGCTACCCCCACCACCACCACTGTGACTGTCCATGCCATAGGACTGGTTTAGGTAGGAATCCATGGATCTCTGACCCCCATAGGATCCATGGCCATAGTCACGATCCAGCCCTATAAGAGTTTAAAAAGAAAAAAATTAAATGCTGCTCACCTTTACTGGCACTCAAAAGAATTTTTAGATAAATATCCTTGAATGCCAGACCTCCGTAAGATCCAGGGCCATAATCACGATCCATTCCTGAAACAGTCAACAAGAGATTATTAATAAAATACAACATTTTCTCCACAAAATGTTTCATTAAACACAAAATATTCACCAGGCAGTGGTGTTGTAAGCCTTTAATCCCAGAATTCGGGAGACAGAGGCAGGCAGATCTCTACGATTCAGGTCAGCCTGTTCTACAAGGCAAACCTGAGGACAGCCAAGGCTACATAGAAAAACCTTCTAAAAAAAACAAAACAAAAAAAGAAAAAACAAAAAAACCCACACATGTATTCACACAAATCATCTAAAGCAATAATATGCATTAACATTTTAACTCAATAAAGATAAAAAATAGCAAAATGATAATCTATTGAAAAACTATTTGTTTACAAAGCTTCGTATTTCAAAGAAAACTAGATCATCAACTACAAAATTCTGCCTTAAAATTATTTTCAGTGTAAGCAATGTTTAGTGGACTACAGGGCTACTACTATAATGCCTTATATTTGGAACTTAGTATTGCAGTATTACAAGTAAAAGGTAATATATAAACTTAATGCCAGCATTTAATAAATGCCAGCAGGGTTCTTTGTCCTGAGTATACTATGATGTAAATATACTACACTTGGTTTTCTATACTAATTGCTCCCAAAATATCTAAAATCTCAAGAACATTTATATTTTCAACTAGAAATGTTCAGTTACTGATACAGATATTTTAGTAAGTAAAGCCACAAACTGAAACCAATCTTTTGGCCCTGTGCCTGAGAATAACAAGGCCTCAATGAATATTTCAATTCTCAATTTTTTTGAATAAATGAAATGAGTGTGAATTTTTGCATCACAAACACTAAAGAATTCTAGTGTAGGAGGAAGCAAACCTATACTAAAAAAACTAAAGGTCATAAAATTAATTGATAGTGGCTATAAAGACTGTTAACTATGTAAATGTTTTCTGTAGAGTCCTCTAACATGCCTCATTACTACTGCCCCTATCTTTATCATAGATACAACAGCATTGAGTTAAAGGCCTTGATTTACATTTTTATAAGCACTGAGTTGTACTTACAGCTAGTTAATGTCTCTACTCTGAACAAAGATGACGATAGATAAGTGCTACTCGCAATCTTGCCTTTTAAACCTGAAAGTAACTTTAATCAAATAAATCAAAGTATTATTTAATCTTTTCACTTGAGAGGTTAGCAAACTAGCATCCAAGATGAGGAGATGGGCCTCTCTGTCTTGTGGGTGTTCTACTGAATTTCATGTTGGTTTTCACTACATCAAACATCTCTTTCTCCCAATCCAACTATCTGCTTAGAGTCTTTTAACTTTTTAAAAATCTATTTTAACTAGTAAGCCATTCAAGGAAACTTTCAATAGCAGTCTCAGATAAATATCATCTTTCTTCTATTTCCAAAATCCTAGAGGTTTCACAAAGCATCACAATAGTCTGCTGCTGTGGCCTCATCCTTCACTTCTAAGTTTTATTTGTGAGGTGCTGTGTGTGTGACATGAGTAGAAGACACAAATTCAGATGGTCAGGCTTAGCAGCAAGTGAGCTATGAGCCATGCCACCAGCTTGTAATTTTTTCCCCCAAGACAGGGTTTCTCTTTGTAGTCCTGGCTGTCCTAGAGCTCACTTTGTAGACCAGGCTGACCTCAAACTCATGTAGATCTGCCTGCCTCTGCCTCTGGAGTGCTGAGACTAAAGGCACACACCATCACACCCGAAAATTTCTAATTTGTAATGCATATTAGAGGACCAGTTATCATAGAACAGTTTGCTGACCAGAGTTCCTAAGACCCTTTCCAGGAATCCATAAGGCCAAAACTATTTTCATTAAATAGCAAGAAAATTATTTGCCTTTTTAATAGCATTTGCATTAAAAAATATATACAAACATTGTGGGTAACTGGAGTTTCAGTACAAATTAAGGAAGTATAAAGCACCAGGCTAATCTAGCAGCCATTACAATAATCATAACATCACATACAGTCACACACATGAAAAACAACCAAGTTTTATATCGCCTTTGCTTGAAAATACCCTTGATGGAATAATTGGGGTTTTTTTTCTTTCTTTTTTTGGTTTTTTGAGACAGGGTTTCTCTGTATAACCCTGGCTGTCCTGGAACTCACTCTGTAGACCAGGCTGGCCTCGAACTCAGAAGTCCGCCTGCCTCTGTCTCCCAAGTGCTGGGATTAAAGGCGTGCACCACCACTGCCACCACTGCCCGGTGGAATCACTGTTAATTGTGATTTAATTACATCTTTTTGTTACTCAAAGTAATGAAACAGGAAATGCACATAAAGTGATTGATTGTGCTACATACCAAAGTATCAGTTCTCTCCAAGAAAAGCCATTGTAGCATTAAGTAGTTTTTATGAAGAAGAATTTTCAGTAGGAAGAATGGAAGAAGAAATTATGGTTTTCATGGTACTATAAACTTGGCCAAAGGCCCATAGGAACCTATTCCTTACTGTGGCCTTATTAAATGGAGTTGGTGTAAACTCCTTCTAATATTTACGTTTATAGTCATAGGATAATGCTGCTCTTACAGCCTTGGTCAGAGAAGCTTCTTTTTACAGTAGGCAGTAGTTAATGGAGAGATTCGTAACTGGTCAAGGTACTATAAAGCACATCAGTATCATCCCCTGCAAGGCTTGGAAATGCTGTGACGACAGGACAGAAAGAAAGTAAGAGCCAGAGAATGGCTGTGCGATGCTGTCTGCTGGACAAGACACGCAGCTGCGCTCCTACCTCCTGACTACCCGTGAGTCAGTTTCTATCGTGGACTGGAGATGGGCCGTGAAGCACCATCAGTAGGCTGAGGAACCATTGGCAGGCATTTGGGGGGGGGCGCCTCAGGGAGAGGGCGTCATTTTGTTTAAGGTATCCACTGGTAAGTTGCCCATGTTTCATGTTTATTTAAACACACACCCATGCTCATTCAAGCAACCCTAATAAAACTCAGAAGGTCACAGAAAAGAGACAAGAACATAAAAGGGGGACTTGGGAAAAAGAGGCACAGAGAGAACAAGAGGAATTAATTAGAAAGGATAATGCGGACGAATATAACAAAAATACATTTGTATCATGTATGAAATTGTCAAAGAATAAATTACATTTTACAAACCCATTTCTTTCAGACATGGGCATTTAGCAAGACATTTTTTTCCACAAACGCAATAAAACTGTTGCTATAGAGAAAAAAAGCTATACTTTAAACTGAAAAAAATCAAAATTTGTATCTACCACTGTCAACCTGACAGCTACCCAACACTTAAAGGTTTCCTAAGTAGTTGATGGTATTAATATGATTTTTATATTGTACACTAAAGCCTGTCACTATTTGGAAAGTAATATCCCTGTACCTCTCATATAGAGGACAATTTTAAGATGAAATAACATATTTCTTGCAAGTCCTCAATGTAAAAAAATAACCTAAATGTGATCTTTAGCCCGATAGAGAAGGCAGAAAGGTTAGTTATTTCCGCTGGTTTCTGAGTTACTGGTGGCTTTCTTAGCTTTTACTTTTAAATCTGTGTTTATTTCCCTGCCTGGTCCCAGAATGACCAGTGTTCTGACAGGCCAGGCCCTGTGTAGAAACACGAGCTTCTCCCCCACAGCAGCTTTCACTCTTTGTCATCAGTTTGGAGTCTTTCTACCACACACAATCAGTGCACTAACAGAAAGAAATCTGCAAATGACTTTTCTTCCAGCTTACCAAAATACATTTTAAAACAATTTTTAAAATGTAACTACAAGGACTTTTATCTCTTTACCATTAAGTGAGAAAGTAATTTATCCAGAAAAACAAATCTCCCCTAAAAATTTGAATCAAATGTATTCTATTTACTTGAATCACTATTACATAAATAATATGCTGAGTTGTGGAACACCCAGCAAAAACTAAAATGTGCTCAAAAGAACTGGAGGTGTAACATTAGGTCTGACTAGAACTCCCTTCATGCTCCTGACTGACAGCACTGCCTAATACCGTAACCTTCACCTACATCACTACCAAGTCTTCCAACTGGCTTTCCTACTTCCATTTTTACTCCCCATCTGTTAATCCTAAAGATAAAGGCTAGAACAACTGTTACAATATAAGATAAGTCATGTCCAATAATGGTTTCCCACTTTATGCCAACTTAAAACAGTCAAAGCCTTAATTAAAATAATCTATAATCCTATACTAGTGGTTCTCCCCCCACCCGTGTGTCTGTGTGTACGCGCGTGCACACCCGTAGATGCCAGAGGACAACATCAAGTGTTTTGCTCAATGAACCTTGAGCTAAGGAGAGCACCAAGTCACAGGGATCCTATCTCTGCTGTTGACTTGGGTGATTCACACTCAGGTCCTCATGCTTGCATTTCTAACCAGAAGCAACTCCGCCACACCTCCCTCCTTCTCACACACCTGGCAAGCAGCACTGGCAATAAACGTGTCTGGTCCTCATAACTAGACATGTAGTGCTACAGACATCTACCACATAGAGACCAAGGATGCCGCTCAACATTCTGTAGTGATTGCACAAAATGGGGATGCACACACATTACCCTATAGAAATATCAGCTAATTCAAAGTGTCAGCAATGCCCAGGTTGAGAAAACACATATGCTCTGCCCTATCACCTCTTAACCCCAAGGACTACCTTACAACCTCATTTGTTCTACTCAATTTACAAAAGGCTCCTTGCTGTTTCCAGAACACAGCAGGTATATACCCGTTTCCACTTACTGCTCCCTCTGCCAAGAATGGTGGTATCTGCGGTGCTCACTGACACACCTCGTCTTCGTTTTCGGTTGATTCTTATATATAAGCAGATTGCCTTTGATTTTTCAATGTCTTTTGTCCTCTCTAGCCTTGTCTTCAAACTGCTCAGCAAAAATAGTCTGTTCTGGTGAAACCAGTCTTCTTCCTCTCTGAAGTTCAGTCCTCCTTTGTTCATGCATTTCCCTCTACCAAGAATGTTCTCTCTTTTCTATCTGCTATTTACATAAGCAGGGATGAAATAAGGAAACATGGAGGACTAGAAATAAAAATCCTTCTAAAACCTGCTGTGGAGAAAATCTGTATCAGAGCCTTCTAGTTTATTTCAGTAGAAAGGTAGGAAACCCAAGGCTAACAATCTATTATTGGCTTCGTTTGGAACCAACACAACTTCTGTTAGTACTTCTAAAGTCTGTTACATGTTACAGTCTTTGTTCAGACTGCCAAGTTTGCATCCTCACCTGCTCTAATTCCATGCTCAAGTGCCATCTGTTTCTTGAGCCTTTCCCTCAAAATTTTTATCTTCTAACATACAATATATTATTTTTAAAACTATATTTTGTGTGTTTAATCCCTTTAGACCGGAAGTTAGTGCCACAAAGGTGGATTTGTCCATTCTGTTCACAGGTAAAGTCCCAGGTCTCAGAAAATTACCTGGATACACAGCAAGTACTAAAAAGATATTGTTACAAGAAGTCAAACAAAACCCCTGAAATTAAGTTTCCCATTTATAATATGCGAACAACTAAGCCCTCCAAGTATTTTCAAGTAGGAGACACTAGCCAGAGGTTAAGAGTCCCACAGTTAGGGACCCTTTGTCTAAAGTGAAGCACCAAGAGGTCTAGGCTACAGCCTGAACAATACCCATGTGGCACTGTTTCTAAGGAATTATGGCAATATCTTCAGAGGCGAATCACTACTGCAGTTACATTAGGAAAAATACAAAAGATCCAAAATTTGGGATTTTTTTAATATTAGTAATGAAATAAACTTGGCCTATGTAATTTTGAATTCCAAATACTACCTTTAGAAATCAACTCTAATTCTCCAGCAAAGCTTTCTATCATTTCAGAAACCCACTAACCTTATTTACTTTAAAATCTTGGACTCATTTTTATTTAACTGTTTTCTACTTATTATTAATATCCTCTATATTCTATTAATATCTTATAGGAAACATCTTAACATGTTTTAAAATGAGTATCATTTCCCTACATACAAATATATTAAGGTTTTCTTTAGCCGATTTTCCATCCTCTAACCTGGCCTAATGTTGACACAAAATTAAACTTTGTTAATTTTACTACATCACTGTCTTCAAAAATATTCTTCAGCACTCATTAAATATGCATTACTTTCTATATGTATTGTCTTTCTCAAATCTGAAGTATCTCTTAATTTTTAGAGATTCTAAAAAATAACTATATCCATAAAAATAGGTCTGGAAAGACGGCTCAGCGGTCAGAGCAAGAGCACCTGCTGCTCTGGCAGAGGACCCAGGTTTGGTTCCCAGCACCACATCAAGGTGCACACAACCACGTGTTAACCCCAGCTCCAGGGGACCCAATGTCTTCTTCCGGAGTATTGCTCACACATAGTATACACACAGAAAAGCAGGCACACACATAAACATAAAAATTTTTAGTGGCACAGACTTTAGTAGTACATTTGCCTTGGTTTCATGAATATATATTTGATATCACAGCTGGATTTTGCATTTCTCTGGTAATCAAAGGAATTTATTTACCACTCCCTTACGTCGTTCATGTAATGTTTTATTCTTCTAACCTCCAAATTATTCTGTGCTTCCTTTTTCTGTTATCATCTTAGGCCTTAACGATAATAACTATCAAAACAATATGCATGGTATTCTGCATATCTCTTACAATTACAGCTAATCACAAGCCAACATCAGGCTTTTGTTAACAAGTAACCAGGGCTCTTTATGTTTTCTTTTGGACAGCTTTTTATCACACATTTGGTCAGAGAAAACTGACCTCAAAAACAAAGGCAGCATGTATTACAACCAAAGTTGCATAGAACCAAAATAAAAATCTACTTCATCTATGTAACTGAACACCAATGTCTTGTCAACAAAAGAAATTCAGCCAGTTTCCTGCAAATTAATCACTGAGAAAGTAGTAAGATATAAAATAGAAAGAAAATAAGTAAAACAAAACAGATATAAAGTCCATGTAATCTAGCTTCTTGTTCTGATCCCAAGTCCAAATACTATACAGAACTGGAGGTTATCACTGTGGCAGAATATCTGGATGTCATTCATGAGATTCCTAGCAAGTGTACATGTACAACTTCTCACACATACACACACCAGAAAAACAAACACTATACATAGTATGACACTAACACCGAGATTTATAAATCAAGAGTCAAAAGAATAATCTGAAACAAAGTGGGTCAGGCTTTCTGCGTTACTACTTGTGTTTGTATGTATATGAAAAAAAAAGCCAAACTATATCCCCTCAGCAAAGTTAAAAGGAAATGCAAGAGGATACTCACCGTTAAAGTCCTGATAAGCACTCCTGCAAGTAGAGTGCACGTAATCTAGGAAGACACATATACAGCAAGGAGTTAAGTGTTGTGTGAGCAAAATCCAGACTTAACATACTCCTCTACTCAGCCATTAAATCAACTACCAAAAAAAAACTGGGGTACAAATCATTACAAATATCCACCTGGGGAAACACATCCCCACTGCCTAATGGAAATATAAAAACTAGTTTATTTCCATATTTCTAACTGCCAAAGGAGGAGACCCAGTATTAATTTAATTTGCACAAAGTAAAGGTAAAACTAATTTGCAAATAGGGTGATGGACGTGAAAATTATCCTATGGAAGACAAATGTTTCAAGGTCAGTATTTGTTTCACAACCTCATCTGTTCTCTCTAAATACTTTAGAAGCTTGTCTAAAAACACATATGCATTTATGTATGAGTGTGTGGGCTGTATCCATCCAGGCATAATGTTAAAGCCTTTATTTAACTCAACAAATAAAGACTGAAAGAACAGAATTTATTACAGAGCTTCTAGACATAACCAAACCCTGGCACATGACAGGATCAGATTCAGATACACTCAAATCTACAGCCCAACTGCAGCTAAGGACGGGCAGCTAACATTGTTTATTATTTTTATTATAACTACAATGAAAGCCAACACTCCAAATTTGACCACTATTTTTCAATTCTCTACAGAAAATGGATGTCCTTACTGCCTGACTCCTCCCATTCTGCACACACACTACAAGGTTAACTTCTGGCACACCACATATGTTGGTAGTGTCATCAAACTTTGGTCTAAAAAATACTTGTTCTTTTCAATATCAACTCTGGCTATTGCAAATAGTTGTAATTTTGAGTCACCTACATCAGAATGAGTCACAGTTCAACACCAAAGCACAAGCAGGACAGTATGCTATTCTGAAGAGCTGAACTATTTCAAAGCAACTGAAGTGCTCTGAAAAGGGTAATCTTTTTCCTATACTTACACTTGACAGTCTTAACTTCTTGTAGCAAATCAAAAATCAAAAGCTCATGCAGTCCATGAGCTAAAAAAGCACACCTTATTCAATGTCAAACCCCATTTCTGGTGGAGGCAGAAGCTTCCTTAACAAGAAAGGAACCGGTTTTACTTGGAAATACCTAGTTCCTCGTGATTACACCTAGTTCAATCCTACAAACTGTCCCTTGTCTCCTAACACTGCCACTACTATAGATCGCTTTATCTTGACATTGATTCCTATAAAAGTTGAGCAAAATTAACTGTACTTCACGGCGTGGGCAGAACGGCAGTAAGAACTAATGCAAGGAGAACTGAAAAGCAAAGTTACAGTTCGGTTTATTTAATCAGCAAGTCCAACACGGGCTGCTGTGCAACCATCTAGCTGAACGTGAAGGACATCTGGGGCTTTCTGTGCCAGAATTCTAACTTAGGTAGCATTCACACACAAGCCCCACCACCATCACCTCTTAAAAAAAAAAAATGCCCTAGGTCAAGGAACTGTTTCAGAAGCGGTATTCACAAGCAGGTAAACGGGGTGAGATATTAAACAGCCCGGTCTGCTGCGTGGTAATAACCTGCAGATTCTGATTCTGGGGAAAACGAAGCCCACCTCGATGGAACACTTAGGGACACCCTTTATACTCGTCTCACACAAAGAATAATCGCAAGAGCCCGAGGCAGCCTGTGTCGAGCGAGATTCCAGAGCCCGGGGCGACGCGGTGAGGACCGGCTCCACCCGCCACTGGGTCGCTTACCCCGAGGGCCCCGTGGGCCCGGTCGCCGCTCGTTCGGCGACGCCGGGAAGTTGCAGGGGGCCGCGGGCGAGGCCGACCCCTTAGGCAGGCAGCAGCCCTCCCCCCGCCCCCCCGGGCCGGCCACACCTCCGCGTGCGGTTCCCGGACCACAGGACTCCGGCCCGGGCCCGTGGCCGCCGTGCGGCCCACAGAACAAAGCCATACGGCCATCTTGAGGCGGTAAACAGACCCCCGGCGCAGGCCGCCCGCCTCCCTTTCGCCCGCCCGCCGCGGCGGCCCGCCCCGCGCGCCGCTCACCGTCCTCGAAGTCCATGCTCGACGCCGCGGGGCTGACGGTCTCGGCGCTGCGCTGTGGCCCGCGGCAAGCGCCCGCGACACGACGGTGTCCACACGACCGGCCCGCGCGACCGACAGCGGCGCTACTGGCCGGGAAGCCGCAGGCCACAGTGAGGCTGGGGGCGGGGCCGGACAGGCCTGCCAGTCGTCGCATCACCGCCTTCGATTGGCCGACGGGGGCCGGTGGGCGGGTCTCGCGTGGGGGCGGGAAGCGGGGCGGTTATCGGGCTCCTGGGTCCTGACCCTGGGGAGCGCGGCGGACGGAAGGTGAAACGGGAGCGCTGAAGGCTGGAGACGGATGTTCTGGAAGGACTCCGGGTGGCCGGCCATGTTGAAGCCTGGCAAAAGCGACGGGGTCCAGGAGGGAGTTCCTTTCTCTTGCACAAACTCATCAAATCACATGGCGACCTTTGGCTACTGTTGGCTGAAGGAGTGAGGAGTAGAGATTTTTAACTACTTATGGGGTTCCTTACTCTGAGACACACAAGTGTGGGGCGAGTACAGGAGCCCAGGTTGCCAAATACAAAACGATCATGAGACTCTCCTAAGACAGGCTGCTAGCCACTGCTGGGCTTTAGGGTGTAAAACAACTGAAAATTCACAGATGGGAAAGATTTGGCAGAAGAAAGTAGTCCACAGCTCGAAGGAGAGGGGGGAGGGAGGGAGGGAGGGAGGGAGGGAGGGAGGGAGAGAGAGAGAGAGAGAGAGAGAGAGAGAGAGAGAGAGAGAGAGAGAGAGAAGAGCAGACGCAAAGGTATTCACTCCAGAACACTATGGGAAGACTATTTTGGTCTTGAACCACAGTTTTAAATGACTTAATTCTCTTTCTGTTTTCACAAAGCAAATGGCGGTAACAAATTGGTTACCGGATAGGAAGCCAGAAATCAAATTCTTCACACTTCTTCGGGATTCAACCAATCTGCTAAACCCAGTTCGAGGAAGCAGGAAATAAAACGGGAAGCACAGCCAGGTGTACCACAGTAGCCCCAAATCTGAGTATGGCACTGTGTCCTGCTCATCTCTTCCTCCTCCACCCTCCTTGACTCATCCTGTTCTCCACCCTTTCCCTGATTCCTTCTCGTCTCCCTCCCACGCTTGTGTTCTGTTCACCTGGGCTGAACGTGTTGGAAACTGAACTCACAATTTCCCTTCTCAGACCTGCTTATCCTTGTGTATTCTTCCGGCGGTTGACAGCGCAGCCACCCACTAATCCCAGTCAGAAGATTGACGGCCATCCACTCGAGACTTCGCTCATTACTCCAGCCTCCCACTTCCAAGCCACACACTGAAGCCTTTTATCTGCTTACTACCGCCTAAAATATCTTAGGCTCTCTCCACCCTTGCCATTTGCACGGCCACTACATGAGTGAGGACACTCACTGTCTCCTTGCAAAAGTCTTGCTGGAGAGGTGGCTCAGTGGTTAAGAGCACTGACTGCTGTTCTTAGAGTTCAATTCCCAGCAACCGCATAGTGGCTCATAACCATCTGTATGGGATCCGATGCCAACTGGTCATGTCATTCCCACATCAAAGCCTCTGAGTAGATCTGTCAGAGTTGTCTAAAGTAGAACACAAACAAAAGATGGAGATACTGCCTGACCCTTACCCTCTCCCTGTATTTCCCCTCCCCCTCTTTCTCTTCTCCCTCTCCTCTCTCTCCCCTTTTAAAGACTTTTTAAAAATTATGTGTAACTTTTATTTTTCAAAACCTATTTTTACTGATGGTTCTTAAGTGCTTTAACCTACCTTTTAGCCCACCACCCACCAGTGGTAGTGGGAAAGAAAGGATACTAGGGAAGTGGACCTGTTTAGAAATGGTTCTTTGGAGCAACTCCCATCGGTGTTTTCTGGAAATCAGCAGTTCAGTTCACAGGCCAGCAATGGCAGCTCGATCCGCTCACAAACACTTCACAGATACACACCAGCCAGGTGTCCTATCATGTGCTTGCTTTAACAGAACATCCTTTCACCGGTGTGTGCTTCAGCCAAACATTCCTTCACATGTCTGCCTTAGTCTTTCTCCTATGTCCACTTCAGCAAATGTACCTTCACCATCCAACCAACTTGCCAAAGAACCCTTAAGTTTCTACTTCAATTATGAATATGCTTTGTCTGTGTGTAGGTATGTGCACAAGCACAGGTGCCCATGGGCCAGAAGAGGGCCTCAGATCTCCCTCAGCTGAGATTACAGATTGCTGTGAGCTGAGTAACGCGGGTGTTAGAAACTGGACTCAGGCTCTCTGAAAGAGCAGCAACTGCTGTTATACACTGCGCCATTTCTCCAGCCCGCTCTCCCCATTTTGATTATCAGTTTCAGACTCCTAATTCTCCAGAGAGCCCTGTGCTTTGTCACGGCTCTTGTCCCCAAACATCCGCCACCTGATGCACTCTCCAAACATAACTCAGAGTTACTTTTATAAAAATACTCAGTTCTCATCCCCATGTTCTAAGCTCGCATTCTCAGGTATACCTTTGAACATGATTCAAAGACTTATTAAAACAGGTTCACAGACAGTCACACTGGTGGGAGCCCAAGAATGTCCATTCCCACAAACCTCCAGGGGCAGCAGCTGCTGCTGGGAAGCCACACCCTAAGGAGCAAAGCCTTGGAGCGCTGTGTCCCCCACAACCTTGGCTTTGAGCCCTCTTCATGCAAAGCTCTTCACCATCATAATAAGGCCTTCTTTGTCCCCTTGCTGCCAAGAGCATTTGTTTACTAAGTCAAACTCTTCCTAGTGATTCCTAGTAATGCCACGATTGTTATCCTTTTTCTCCCGTTTTACCTTCTGGCAAAGGAATGATTTTGTAACCTAAGGTCCTAAGCCTTACCTACCATGACTGAAAAGGAATAAACTATAGTGTCACTATATTCTCTCTCTCTCTCTCTCTCTCTCTCTCTCTCTCTCTCTCTCTCTCTCTCTCTCTGTGTGTGTGTGTGTGTGTGTGTGACTACATCCTCCTCCCTCACTTTCCCTTCCATCCCCTGGAAGAAAAAATGGCCAGTCAAGTTTCTGCTAACTCAAAAGAAACCTAGTCTCAAAGGTGTACTGAGAGCCAGTGAGTGTGTGTATTCATGCGCGCGCGCGCACACACACACACACACATACACACACACACATCTTCGCCTCCCTTCCTCTTTCCCAAACAGGAAGCATCCTTACTCAGGAAGTCGGCATACAGAGCCACCCTGTATCTCGGTTACTTTTTTACTGCAGTGAAGAAACACCATGACCATGGCAACTTATTTTTGAAATGATTTAATTGAGGGCTTACTACAGGTTCAGAAGGTGGGTCCACAGCCATCACCGTGGGAGCCTGCCAGCAGGCAGGGAGGAATGTCACTGGAGGGGAAGCTGGGGACTTACATCCAATCCGTAAGCAGGAGGCAGAGAAACTGACCTGTCCTGAGCTTGAGGAGCCTCAAAGCCCAGACCCACACCTCCTCTAACAAGCCCACATCTCATAATCCGTCCTAAACAGCCCAGCTGGGAACCAAACACGCAAACGCACGCCCACGGGGCTGTTCTCGTTCGAGCCACAGCGTCCTGTGCTGCATGAGAAGTCGTCAGCCTGTCTCACATTCGTTTATTCAACAAACTCTAAGTACCAAGCACGTGCCAAGCATCCTCATCTTACATCGTGTTCCCTTGCCTCCCAGAGCCCAGCTAGGCTCATCTTTGTTAGGCTCAGCTTCATACCCTAGGGGCCCAATCCTTTGTACAAAAAGCCATGTGTAATTTCGTCTTCTGTATATTTTACAGCAGACAGCAAATTACTGAATCACAGACCAACAAGTCTATTAAAAGTTTAAAGAGATACGGGGGCTGGACATTTTATGTGTGGAGGTCAGAGGATGTGGGAATTGAAGTCAGGCACAGGTTACAGGGACAAGAAGAAAAGTTAAACCTAGGACCTGTTCTTAAGGGAGTTATGTCAGAGAAGCTACGACCTTGAACCCAAGGAGAGTTAGGTGTCTGAACTCACTAATGACCCAGAGTCCTTTGTTCCAAGGCCCCCTAACCCTCCACACCATCAGCAAGGGATGTCTGCCATTCCCATAAACAAACTTTCATGTGACCACAGTTTTGATTACCTTTTCTGTGCTTCCTGTCTTCTGTCTCTGTTCTTCAAGTTGACTATGAATATTGCCTCTTTCTAAATGTCTCTCTAAGGTCTTCATCTGAACCCTATAGAGAGTTTATTATAGTTTTTCCTGACACTCTGTTCGTACTTTTTTTTTTCTTAGATTGCTGTGATTGTATATACTTGGCTCAGAGAGTGGCACTATTAGGAGGTGTGACCCTGTTGGAGTGGATGTGGCCTCATTGGTATAGGTGTGTCACTGTGGGCTAGGATGAGGGTCTTCCTCATCCTAGCTGGAAGTCAGTATTCTGCTAGCAGCCTTCAGATGAAGATGTAGAATTCTCAACTCCTCCTGCATCATGCCTGGCTGGATGCTGTCATGCTCTCACTTTGATGATAATGAATTGAACCTCCGAACTTGTAAGGCAGCCCCAGTTAAATGTCCTTTATAAGACTTGCATTGGTCATGGTGTCTGTTCACAGTAGGAAAACCCTAACTAAGACAATTGCCTAGTTGTCACTGTGAATGCTGAGAGGGAAGAAGCATTCACCAAGAGCAGTATCTGCCTACAAAGACTGGAGGACATTGGATCCCCAAAACTGGTGTTACCGATGGTTGTGAGCCACCTCGTATTGTATTGGGAGTGACACCTGGGTCCTTTGGAAGAGCAGTAAGCACTCTTAACTGCTGATTCATCTCTCCAGCCAAACTGGAATGTCTTTTATACCTAAAGCTTACCTGAATTTTCTCCCTGATTTTAATTTAGGACTTTAAAAGAAACAAAGGCATCTCCAAAAGCTGAAAGGAATAATAATAAAATAACAATTTTTGTTATAAGCTAAACACCAATGAGTATTCGAAGCTCTTTTCATGTGTCATCTACTTGTGATATGTGTACTTCCATCACCCCCGACTCATGAATGAGGTGGCCTTACTTGCACAGGATGCTCAACTAACAAAGCATGAAGAATCAGATTCAATCAGCCCCGCCCTAGAGC